AAATTGTCCCTGAAGTCCATCCTGTGAACTTTGCAGCCTGAGAGGATCCACAGTGAGGAAGAGCCGGCCATGCCATGGTGAAGATTTCCAGGCTGGAGCTGCTGGTGCCCASAGCCCTGACCACTCTGKCTGTYGGCCACCAAGATGGGATTCTCAGGRAGAGCAGGGATGTGACCACAGGATGCTGCTTCTCCTTTCTCCCATTCGTTCCCAGAAGGARGAGGGAATTGTTTGCATGTCCCTCTCTGGGTTTGAGGCTCTGAGCTCGGCAGGGTTTGGTCTCATTCCTGCRGGTTCCTGCACCCTGAGCGCGGCCTCACATCCCTCGGCTCCCTCACCCCGCTCTGCCTCCGTGACCTTCCAGCACCAGCAGCRCTCACAGGGGCTCTGAACCCTGCTGGGTCATTGCCAGAGGACTTTGCTCTTCTGCCCACGGGACAGTGAGTGACACGGCGGGGTTTGGGGGTGGCACAGGGAGCGTTTCAGAGCGAGCGCCTGGGACAGCGGCGGGAGCAAGGGTCATCCTCTGGTGGGGAATGGTGAACCTGTCCTGAGCTTGGCTCCTGAGCACGTGGAAGGAGAGCACTTCCACTGCCTGGTGAGATGGGACAGCTCTGCAGGGATCTCCCCAGGGAGGACAGGGCACATGGCCAGTGTAGGTGACATCTGATGGTGGCAGCAGGAGAGTCCCTTTGTCTGCTCGCAGCTTCCTCAGCCAAACCCTTTCACCTCTGAGCTGCTGTGAACACCTCGGGCCCTGGCAGAAATCAGCAGGGTGGCCTATGCCAGTGTCCCCTACCCTTAGGAGCACCCACAAGGTGTCACCTGGCCTCTGCTGTGACAGCAGGCTCAGCCGCAGGTACTGCCGTCCTCAAATACGGGATGGGACGCATGGAAGAACCCCAATTTCCAGATCCTGTAACTCCTGCCATCCCCAGACCCTGCAGGATGAAGCASTCACCCATCTCTCCACTCCCTGAGGTGCCACAAGCTCCAAGCAGGCTCCTGCACGTCACCCATGGTGTCACCATGTCTCACCCCACAGTCAGACACCRTCAGGACCGGGACACAGAGCCCAGCCCTGCTCGGGGGGCATCGAGGCACCGCTGACGAGCACAGCAGCATCAGCCACAAGTCCTGGAGAGGCTCCAAGGGGAGGTGGGGATSTGCTGGGGCCTGACTCAGCTCTCAGAGCAGGAGCAGGCTGTGGGATGACTCAGGAGGAGCTGCTGGCGTGGGGGCAGCTGGGAAGCGGTGAGTAGGCAAAGCCAGGCGGGAGCTGCGAGCCGGAGGCAGCCGGAAAGACCCGAAGATGAGACATTATTTGTTGTGGGATAATTCTCCCGTCCTCCAGCCCATGAGATGTCGGCTCTCCCTTCCCTTTGTCCTCGCTGCACAGCACTTTGATGTGGAAAATGTGGGTGAGGACAAGTCACCCCGACTTTTGTGAGGTGACAGCAGCCAGAGATGGTGCCTGACCGCAGTKGGACGGCCCTGATACCCCAATCAGMCATTCCTGTGAGCCRGCTGCCTTGGATGTGTTGGGAGATTCATTTTCCTGCCTGAGCTGCTCCTGAGGAGGCTCTGCTGGCTACACGTCGAGGTTTCCCTCTCTCCCACCAGGATCTGCAAACCCYAGCGCTTTTTCTGGAGGAGCCAGGTGGGCCTGACACATCCCAGCCTGTCCCCTGTGCTCCACAGCTGCCCTGGCAGGGTTTCYCTGTTTTCCTGCTGGAACATCCTCYGGCTTGGGAAGCTCCTTCCTTGGAGCTCTCATGGTTTTGGACGCACAGAACTCAAAGAGCTTCAAAGCACCGAGAAACCAGCAGATACCAACCCCTCCTGCCCTTCTCAGCGGGGACTGGGTCACTGGGGAACACCAGCTCTGCTCACCACTGCTGACCTTCCACAGTGCCACCATCTGCCCCTTCCCAGTGCTTCTGCCCATGGGCGATGGCTCATCCATCCCCACTCCCTGCTGCTTGGTTTGGCGCCACAGGGAGGACAAGTCTCAACCCAAATCCYGCCAGCCTCTGCCCAGCCTTGTCCTGCTCACCAGCTCATCCTTTACCCCTGGAAGCCAGGATGAGCACAGCAGCTTGACCCTCATGTGTGTCAGTGCCAGACCAGGGGCTTTGACTACTTTGATCCCCAGGGTCATCAACTGGACGGATGGTGGACACAAGGGCTGAGGCCAGGACATGATCCTACATTCCTGCATGCTGTCACATGCTGTCACACCGAGAATAATACCTGTGGAGTGGCTGGGACCATGGGCTCATGGCTGCAGGACAGCTCGACCCATTTTTCTCCCCAGCAGTTTTACCCAGAGCCCTGCAGGTACCCTGGGTGAATGATCTTGCCAAATGGATGTGGGCAGTGCTGAACCAGGCACCTTCAGCAAAACCCGACCCCAAATATTGGGGAAATACACAGGAAAACCAGCACGCTCGGCCCCGCTGCCTCTGCCTTGGCAGAGCCTCCCGCGGATCAGGGATTGCCCACCTGAGCAGGACTTTCAGCAGGACGCCCCGAGGCCAGCCCTGCCCCGTCCCCGCGGCGCAGCTCCTCACCTTCTGAGCCTGGCAGATCATCTTCCTCACCACCTCCTTGATGTGCGCCTGGCCCTCGATCGGGGGCTGCATGTACACGGTGGCGCGGGTGACCCCGCGGTAGGCGATGGTCTCGGGCCAGCCCAGGTCCAGCTGCGGGATGGAGCGATCGGACCTYTGGGGCCAGTACTCCAGGGAGGGGGCCACGTCCTGCTCGTCCCCTTGGCTGTTGCGGTCGCCCTCGCTGTCCCCGCCGCTGCTGCCGTGCCGCGGGATGTACTCGGAGCCGGGGTCGTACGCCTCCAGCGTGTCCAGGATCTTCTTCAGCTCCAGCTCCGACAGGAAGTCCCTGATGTTCTCCCTTTTCAGGACTTCATAGAAGGCGTCTGGGCCGCGGGAAGCCAGCGCCTCCAGGGCCAGGCGTTGCTCCTCGCTGTAGAAGAACTCGGGCTTGGACTCGCTGGACCTCCAGTTGACGTGGCTGTCGTCCAGGCACTGCACCTGRGAGAAAGCCATGGTGACCCCGCTCTCCGATCCCCTCTCCCCGGGGARCTCTGTGCCCCCAGCGAGCGCCGGATGTCGGCAATAAACGCGGAATTAATTATTCTCCAGTCTCCAAATACACGGTTAGCTTCGCCCTCCCCGGCTCAACATGCAGCTCGGGAAAGGCACCGCTCCCTTTTTCCAGCGGCTCCCGCCGCGCCGGGGCTCTTCCTGCCGGGRAGGAGGGTTTGGTTTGCGCCTTGCTCCCGGCTCCAGGCGAGGAAAACGCGGAGCTTCCCCCAGCAGAGAGCCCCAGGTGTGCCCACACCGCCAGGAAGGTCCTTCACCCCCGCGTCCGCTCTCTGCTCATCCTCCGCTCTCCCGAGACAACGCGAGCACGGGACGAAATAAAAAGTGGGAAAGAAACAAAGAGAAAAGCGGCTTAATGAAGGGCAGCSARGAGCAGGGTTTCTCGGCCCAGGGGCCGTGCCGGGTTCTCGTTCCCGGTCAGCCGGGGGTTTGCTCGGCGGCGGTCGCTGTCCCTCAGCCTCCTGCGCATCGCCGAGCGGCTCGGGGCTCCTGCCAGCGCGCACTGCCGGGGCCGGACAGGTAACAGCAAGAAGTGAAAAGAGGAAAAGGAAAAGAGTGATTCATCCCTCCGCCCTGCCCCACCTGCAGTCACATGCTGCCTTCACACGTTCCCTGCCCAGCCCAGGGAAGCTTAACTCTTTCGGCTGATGTGCCCTCGCACCTGCGGACCCGATCCTGGAGCCCCCCGGAGCCCCCCGGAGCCTGCGGGTGCTGGAGGGTCCCGGGCGGCTCCGGAGGGCTTTGGGTGTTTGTCTTTAAAGAAACAGTTTCTGTCCTCTGAGATTCCCCTCTCTCCCGGTGTGCTGGCTGGTAAGTCAATATTTTCCCGGAAAACAGACCTGTCCTGTGGTTAACCCCTTCTGTGCTGGTGCTGAGCTCGGAGCCCAGGTGGGTCCTGGTGGGCAGCTCCTGGTGAGATCTGCCAGAACTGTTCAAAGCTGCACCGAGGCAGGYTTAGGCTTTTCTTTATGGAAACATCTCCTTGAACAGGCTTCTTAGAGAGGTGGTCAATGCCTCAAACCAATCAGTGTTYAAGAGGCATTTGCACAATGCCCTTAATTTTTTTGTCAGTCCTCAGTTGGTCAGGCAGTGGGGCCAGATGATTGTTGTGGGGCTGTTCCAAATGAAACCATTTATTCTATTCTGTCCTGTCCTGTSCTGTCCCCTTGTCTATAAGGTCTGCAGCACTATCATGGTCACATCACCAGACCTTGCTATGATAAATCTCATTAATAACTGAGAGAGGACATAAAAAACCCCCACTCTGGATTCACCAGTTGGTGCTCACAAGCCAGAAAAGCTCTCTTGAGCTTTTCTCTTGGAAGCTCATCTGAGGACGAATTTCAGGAATTGGGGTCAGATTCTTGCGCCAATGCAAAAAAGGAAAGTGCCATGGGCTGTGTCTCTGTCCCTGGCGTTGGTGTGGCTCATCTGGATTTGCAGGCGGATAAATGAGGGCCCTGCCTGAGTCAGGCTCCCGAGGCAAAGCCGCCCGTCTGTCCGGGTGCTCGGCCATCAAAGCGCTCCTCTCTGCAGCCACAGTGGCCCTGCTGGTCCCACAGTGACAAATCGTGCRTGGGGCTGTGCCCAGCCCTGGCCTGGCCCATGCAGGAGGTGGCAGCAGGGCTGGGAGACACAGGAATGGGACAGTTCTGTGTTGGGACCACAGAATCATTGAGSTTGGAAAAGGTCACTGAGTCCGGCACTAAACCACATCCCCAAGAGTCAAATCTACAACATGGGGAGGATTGAAGCATTTATCTCCCAAAGAGTATCAGCTCAGGAGGTGTTTGAGGTGGAGCTGGTGACTGTGCTGACCCTGCAGGGGTTTCCCAGAGGTGGGGGTGACATCCCCACACTGTGACCTGGCGCAGCAGGGACTGAGGGAGCTGGAACCAAACCTGGGTGTTTCAGGTGAAATCCCAGCCCTGCTGGGAGCAATGGGGACAACAAATGGGACAGAGGTGAGCGCTGAGCCAGCACCCAGGACTCTTTGGGTACGATGGGAGATGGCCCAGATGGGAGCACGCAGTGGGTGTGTGGCRTGGYAGGAGCGTGTTGTGGTTGCCGCTCRCTCCAGGTGTTTTTATTGTGCCAGGAGATTTACGGGCTCTTTCACGGGTGTGTGCACTAATGATTTATTGCATGTGGGGCAAATGCTGCATCCCAGCCATGGCCTGCTCTGTGCTGGTTCTGCTGGGGCGGCTCAGGGTGGCAGAGCCCCACAGCGGGACCATGTGGACCTCACACCTGATCCTCACGAGGGATGGTGACACCTGGGTCCCCCACCTCCAGATCCCAGGGGCTCCCTCTCCCCACGTGGTGATTTTGGCCCTGGAATTGGGTGCAGCCCCTGTTTGCAGAGGTGGCTGTGGCTGAGCAGGTTGGTCCTGACGGTTCCAGGTGTCCCCGGGTGGATCCAGCCGGACAGGAAGCTCCCAGTGCAGACACGGCTCCTGTCCTGCAGATGGAAGCATTAATTACAAGGTCCTAATTAATTTTCCATTTTTAGCAGAAGGCCTAAAAGTGAGGCAGTGGGGTATGAAGTGGGCTCTGGGCTCCTGCTTCCTACTGTGAGGTGCCACCAAGGGGTTTCACCAAGTGGAGCTGAGGCCTGGGGCAGACATTTCATCTGGAATACAACATCCAGACACTGCMTTCCCTCTGGAGCGCCTTCCACCCTCCAGCCAACAACCATTTGCATGGAGCCRTGCACAACGTGGTGTTTTAGAGAGGGGAAACTGAGGCACAGAGCACTGATGGCAGCTTTGCTCACAGCTGCTGCAGGATGGAGTCACCCGGGCCCTGGTGCTGACTCTGACCTTGGGGAAAGGCGGCTCCACTTGGGCTTTTTGGCATCTTTGGGATGTGCTGAGCAYGGCCCGTGGTCTGCCCACAGCCCAGTCCTGCTCCCATTGCACCTCATGCTCCTTTATGGACTGTCCCAAGGTGTCACCACCAGTGTTTGAGACAGAGAGGTTGAGGGTTGCACCCTGCTTTGGCAGAGGTCACCAGGCAGGAGAAGCAGGAACGCTCCCTGTCCCGTGCAGGGATCACCCGTGCTCGTCCCCGTGCTCCTGGCTGGGCAGGTGCAGCCCRGAGAGCCAGGCAGCCCATCCATATTTATACCTGACATTAATTTCCATCCATTTCAATATTTTATGAGCGTGACAATTAAAAGAAAGAAAGAAGGGTTCAGTGCTCGTTGAGACATAGGAATAATTGGTTGTTGATGGTCCTGGCGCGCTGCCACGCTGATCCCGGGAGCTGCTGGTGCTGCCCATGCCCAGGAAATCACCACAACAGCGCAGGAACCCTGCTGGCCCCGTGTGCAGGGATGGGCAGTGCCTGCCCTGGAGCTCTGCTGCCTCTGGGCAGAGCCCCAGTCCTGGTGGGGCTCTGGAGATGCCCCCGGGGCAGCTGTTCCTGGGTTTATGTGGGGCTGGATCCAACCAGGGCTGGGCTGGGTGCGGGCAGCCGGGGGTGAAGGGTGGGATGGGCTCTGCTGTGCTGGAGCTGACGGTGGGGGAGGCAGGGGTGGATTTCCATATGGGATGTGCTCCCTGCTGCTCYTCCTGCTGTCCTGCCAAGGCCTGGGCATCGTGGCCACACGAAGGGTCAATAACTGCCCAGTGGGGCAGCATGAGGGGAGTGAAAGGGGCAGGGCTGGCCCCAGCCTGTGAGGGGTCTCAAGGTGTCACCTGCCTCTGTCCCCAGACACCGTGGCCTGCGTGGACCCTGAGGAGTGCACTCGTGTGTGCGGGGCCGCCGTGGGCTGCTCCAACATCGCCTACCCCAAGCTGGTGGTCGAGCTGATGCCCAGCGGTACGTGGGTGTGGGAGGGGCTGACTCCATCTCCTCAGGGCTTTGGCACCCCGGGGCTGCTGCCAGGGCTTTGATCTTGGGAGGAGGGACCCCATGGATGGTCTGGGAGGGTCAGTGCCTGGCACAACCCGTGCAGTCCCTCCAAGGGTCACTCCAGAAGGGAGGTCAGGGGATGTGAGGTCTTGATATCCCAGAGTGCAGCTGAGTGCTCCCAAACCTCATCCTTGCCCCAGGGGGGATCCCATAGGGTGGCTGCAGAGGGTTAGGTTCTATCCCATCCCATCCCATCCCATCCCATCCCATCCCATCCCATCCCATCCCATCCCATCCCATCCCATCCCATCCCATCCCATCCCATCCCATCCCATCCCATCCCATCCCATCCCATCCCATCCCATCCCATCCCATCCCATCCCATCCCAGCCTCTCCCTCTCCTCCGCAGGGCTGCGGGGTCTGATGATCGCGGTGATGATGGCAGCTCTCGTGTCATCCCTGACCTCCATCTTCAACAGCAGCAGCACCCTCTTCACCATGGACATCTGGAGGAAGCTGCGGCCACGGGCCGGGGACCGGGAGCTGCTCCTGGTGGGCAGGTACTGACCGGCGCTTTTGGGGATACCGGGGCGTTCGGGGAGACTGGTGGGGCCGGTCCAGCCTGCAAAGCGCCTGGTTTATGCAAGGAAAACAAACCCTCGGATTATTTTGGGGATGAAAGCGCTGCAAATGCAGACGGGGCGCTCGGTGCAGCCTCTCCCCTTCACCTCCTGCCCGCTCCCGGCTTTGGTCACACGCGGAGCTCACGGAGCTCGGGCGGGAGGCGGAGGGCAGCGCTGCCGGTACATGCCCGGCTGCTCCCGGTGCCGGCGGGGAGCCCCGGAACCCGCCCGCGGTGCCGCGCTCGGGGCGGCGCACTCAGCGCTGGGGAATGGCCCGGGAATGCCGCCGGGCCCGCAGCGAACGCGCCGAGGGCAGGCAAACAAGGAGCGAATCTGGGTCAGCCCTTGGCTGCGCTGTGCGGAGAGCTGGCGGGACCAGCGGCTGTTTCTCGGCGCTCTCCATCTCCGGAAGGTGGGAAGGGGATGGGCAGCGATCCCTGCGAGCGGTGGTCCCGCATGCTCCCCCTCGGGAMGCGGAGCGCTCGTCTCAAGGCTTTCTTTAGCCCCTCCCTGGCACTGGGCTTCGCTGCCGGTGACAAGGGTGTGACAAGGCAGGACAGCTTTCCCGAGGATGGGTAATGAATGTTTGCGAAGGGCTTTGCCCGCCCGGGGCGGGAGTCRCTGCTGCTGCTGCGGCGGAGCCCGGGGAACTCCTCAGTGTCGGGTGATTCGTGCGAGCAGGACGCTGCGGATCGCAGGGACAGAGACAAGGAAATGTGTTTGGGAGAGGGGGAAAAAGCTGTTTAAGCTGCAGGTTTAGGGTTTTCCTGCCAGCACGGAGAAAGGCGGGTTGGGTGCTGAGTAGTTGACAGGAGGTCCCAACAGTCCCCAGACCCAGCAGGGTGGGAATGCCACATCCTGGGATCATGGGTTGGGTTGGAAGGATCCTTAAAGATCACCTCAYTGCAGCCCTGAGGAAAGGGCTTTGATTGTGGGATGGGGAAGAGCTCCCAGCTCCCAGAGCTGGGGGTTTGARCTCTGGCTGTGGCCGTGGTGCCTGGCTGGAAATTCCTGCTGGTGCCAGACGCTGCTCTGTGCCAAGGTGGTGCTGTGGTGATGGAAATACCGGATCCTTCCCAAATTCCCCCAGCCTGGAATGTGCCAGTGAAGCTCTCCATTCCCTGCCCGGATCAGCAGGACACCCAGCACGCCCAGCTCCCTCCTCACCCTGACACTCCTGCTTTTCCACAGTCATTTGGCCTCAAGACCAGGTTGGAGGGGCTTTCAGCAGCCTGGACTAGTCSTGGAAGGTATCCCTGACCATGGCAGGGGRTGGAATGAGATGGGCTTTAARGTCCCTTCCCACCCAAACCTTCCATCATTCTTTGATTCTGTCYTCTGTGGCTCACAGATATTCCAAACAGAGGGATTCCTCCTCCCCTGTAGATCAAGGTGTGCATTTAATGCTCAGGCTGGTTCCCCTCCCTGCAGCACCARGCATCAGTGGCAGTTCCAGTCAGAGCTGCTTTCATGGCTTTATTTTTCTTTTATTTTTTCTTATTTCTGCCTTTTGAGAAGAGCAGATGGAGATGGAGGAAAATCTTTGGAGCTGTAATCAAGCCAGGCTGAGTTATAAATACAGCAGCTTTGGGATGGGTCCTGTGCAGGCTGCCTGCTCAGGCTGGGCCTAAAATCTGGGGTCTGGCCAATCCCTCGTGCTTCAGAGGAGGGTGATGCTGCGGGGTGTGGCTGGGATTTGGGTGAGGATGGGGTCAGGGTGATGTTGGGGACTGTCACAGCCTGGTTGGGGGAGCTGAGCATGGGGCAGATCAGCCCTTGTCCCCAACTCTCAGCTGGGTGCCTTGGCTGGACATGGGGGTCCTGAGAGCATCACCCAAATCTGGCCAGAGCAGCACCCAAATCTGGCCAGAGCAGAACCCAAATCTGGCCAGAGCAGAACCCAAATCTGGCCAGAGCAACACCCAAATCTGGCCAGAGCATCACCCAAATCTGGCCAGAGCATCACCCAAATCTGGCCAGGGTAGTACCCAAATCTGGCCAGAGCAGCCAGACTTTGCATCCGGCAGCTTTTCACAGTGGAAGTGCCCATTTCCTGGTGTTTTCCTTTGAGAGGTCCAATCCAGCAGCCCCCAGAGCTGGGCAGGGCCCTGGGAAGTTCTTGTCCACCCAGGTTCAGCAGGGAGGGGCATAATCAACACCCTCCGTGGTCCTGGAGATGTCCCCCAGCAGCGAGTGACCCWCCTGCATCCCCAGCAGCTCWGGGACCTGACCCCTGATTTYGGGGATCCTCCGCAGCCACAGAGCTGCTGCAGGAGCAGGGTGGGACAGGAATGTCACCTGCTGCCACTCGCAGGGCTGTCACAGTGGCGCTGGTGGCTCTCAGCGTGGTGTGGATCCCCATCCTGCAGAGCTCCAGTGGTGGCCAGCTCTACGTGTACATCCAGGCTGTCACCAGCTACCTGGCTCCTCCTGTCACCGCTGTCTTCATCCTGGCCGTCTTCTGGCCCCGAGCTAACGAGCAGGTACACGGCCCAGGTGGCCCTGGGGAYAGTTTGGGGACAGGGGTGGTACTGACACCCCCTGTGTGCCCTACTAGCAGGACACAGAGGGGATCAGCAGGTGGGGGAGGAAGGGAAGGGGTGACACTGGAGGGGTTGGGGAGAGAGCTGAGCTTGGCTGGGGTTCCTCAGGGAGCTGGGGGTGGCTGGTGACAAAAGGGAGCTGCTCAGCATGGCCACCAAGTGTGGCAYGGAGCTGGCAGGGGACATCCCCATGGAGGGGGAGCAGGGTTTGGCCATGCCCTGACGCACAGGGACTGTTCTACACTCCCTGGGGCTGGCTGGACAGAGCAGCTCCCGGGGGTTTGTCCCCGCTGCGGGGTGACCATCGCCCTCCAGCCACCCCCGTGGGCCTTGGCTTTGCAGGGAGCCTTCTGGGGCCTGATGGCAGGGCTGGCCCTGGGRCTGGCCAGGATGGGGCTGGAGCTGGCCCACCCCACACCCCTCTGCGGGGTCCCTGACCAGCGGCCGTGGCTGCTCACTGACCTCCACTACCTGCACTTTGCCGTGCTGCTGGCCGCTGTCACAGCTGCCATCGTGGTGGGGGGCAGCCTGCTGTCCCCACCACCGTCCCCACACCAGGTGAGTGGGGGTATCTGTGTCCCCCTGTCCCTCCCCACAATGGGGTCAGCCCTGGCAGGGTTTTCCCAGCAAATCTCCGGTTTGCAGCTGAAGGATCTCACCTGGTGGACCCTCTCACAGGAGCATCCTCAGCTCTCCATGTGTGGCACATCCCAGGGACCCTCTGATGGTGAGTGTGACCTTGGGGGTGACAGGCAATGCCTGTAATGGGCAGCAGGGTGGCACAATCACCCTGTGCCTCAGTTTCCCCAGGACTGTGCCACCTGCCAGGACGTGGCTGGTCCCCAGGGCCCTCTGTCCCCCACACTCACCCTATTTCTGTGCCAGGTTCCTGTTCAGCCAGCCTGGACACCCAGCAGCCACCCAAGGCCGTGGGACCCCCGACTGTGACCCTCAAGGACACCACGGAACCCCCGTTCTGGGCCCGAGTCTGTGGCATCAACGCCATTATCCTGATGTGTGTCAATATTTTCTGTTATGCYTATTTTGCCTAGCACCCTGCCAGCMCCTGAGGTAGGKRAAAGGTGCTTGGAGAGGGGAARAATGAGGATTTGGGTGGTGATTTTTCTTTATTTGGGATGTGATGTTGAGATGCACTGGTGCAGCGAGTTGGGTGTTCTCAGCACTGCAGACCCTGAGTGCATCCCAGAGAGTGTGAGATACGTGGGACACTTTTAGGGGCAGCAATCCCTGGGAGGGGTTTGGAACAGGCTTTGGGGTGGAGAAATGGCGGCTGCAGAGGAGCAAAACCACAGCAAAGCAGCAGCTGCATGAATGGAGGGACAGAAACACCTGGGCAGCGCTGGAAAAGGAGAAGCTGCACTCGAGGGTGATACCCAAACACGTTTTACTGGCCCTAAATAAAAAATAATATAAAAAAGCCCCMAAATTTGCAGCTATTAACAGCACCCACAGGACTGAGTCCCCCTGGATCAGCCTTTCCTGGTATCCTGAGTCCTGGAATTCCTCCGTGGATGGATCCTGGCTGTGTCCTGGCTGCCATCAGCCCTCCCTGGAGTTGGGGCTTTGCTTATGGGATCTGGAGAGGAGCCAAGGTTTGGGGTTTTGGGCTCAACCCCTCTGTTGCTGTCATCCCACTAGATTGTGGCTCTGAAGAAGTTTTATGGCCGTGGCTGAACACTCCACGCTCCCTCCCTGGGGAGCACCACTGCCAGCCCAGGGCTGGGGGTCACAGAGCTCTCGGGATCGGGGGAACAGGGGAGCCCCAGCTGATATTCCAGGGTGCTGGATCCATCCCCCTGGATGRGGAACCCCACCAGCCTGGCCTCCACCTCCAGCACAGCCACGTGGCACTGGGGTGGACACCATCCTGGGGACAAAGGGACACTCAGTCCGTGTGTGGGCAGCTCTGGTGAGYGGGGACAGCGGGGCCGGGTCCTGCCCGGTCACTGAGGTGTGGTCAAGGTCACTTGTGGATGGGGTGGACGTAGTTCCGGGGGAAGAACCCGACACGGCCGTAGATCTTSCCCTGCCACCAGTTGGGGTCAGGGCAGTCCAGGACCTCGATGATGTCCCCACGGAGGAAAGGCAGCTGGGAACGTTCRTGGGCTGAGAAATCAAACTGGGCTTGCACGAATCGGGGTCTCTTCACCTGGAGGGAAGGTGAGGACAGGGGGTGGCAGGARGAGAGGGGTCCCCACCTGCCAACCCCCTGGCACCGGGGAGCACCCCCAGGGTGACAGGGACACTATGGGATGGGGACCAGGCTTGGTGTGCCTGCTTTGAAGAGAGACAGAG